AGAAAAAAACCCGAGGTTTAAAAAAAAGGGAAAAAAAAAAAAAAAAAAAAAAAAAAAGTAGTAGTTCAAATCCAGTGAGTTGGAAATATTGTTTCCTGTGTGGTACAGTCAGCCTGTGTAAGATACATAGGGGAGTCATAGATGCTCTGGTTTCCTTTTACAAATGTTTATATTGAATGTTCTGCATAAATGCTGCCGATTTATTGGTTAGTTGAAGCTGACGGACAACATCTGAGATCAACAACATAAGCATGTGCGGGGGACATAAAAGCTCCAAGTTCTATATTAAAAGCTTTTGAGATATGGAAGAAAATGGGACCAAAATAAATCATTTTAGTTTAGTTTTTTCCACTTTTATTGTGATGCAAAACTGAAAGAGAAATACATCTTTTGTGAAGTAGTAAATATTGTGTTTGCGTAAGTGTGTACACCCTCATAACTTGATATGTAGTGGTGTCCTAATCAACCAACACTGCCATCATTTCAACAGCCTCTGCTTACCCTGACATACAAGTTGAGTTGTACCCCCGCCCCTTTCCTTTCTTTTCCTAAAATTTCATTAGCACGTCAATAATAAATCCCAGGGTCTGCAAAGTTCTCACTGTTATGAGGGATCAGTTGAGGCAGCAGGGCACAAACAGCTTTCAATACATCTTAGAACAGTTAAAGAAAGTCATCAGGTAGCAAGGCGGAAATGTTTTCCAACCGAGAAAAAGAATCCAAATCCAACAGCTAAATTCTGTGAAAACTCGACTTGGGTTTTCCAAAATCAAGTAGGAAAATGAGTAGCTGGTCAGTTAAAACCCGTGTTTCACCAAAAAGCAAGAGTATCTGGAGCAAAAACTGCATATCACCAAAAATGTATCATATACATGGCTCAGAGCATCATGCCTTTTCATTAGGGAAGTAAAGGTATCTAATGCCGTATTTAAGGGTACACACTCTTATGACACCACAATATTATTCCCCCTAAAAGATTCAACATTTTTTTCTCCAGTTGAGCTAATATGTTGCATTAAAGGTGGAAAAAAGTTCTAAAATGATTTGTTAGTCTCATTTCCTTACATTACAAAAACTCTGCATTTTTTAGGGGTGTGTGGACGTTTTGTATGTACTGTGTGTATAAACATGAAGTTTGCCTTGATAAAACTTTACAAAATAAAGCAAAGGAATGTTGATGAGGATTTATTTTCTATTAGCCATTAGCATACACCCAAAAGCCATGACAAGTCACCAGATTCATTAAAAAACAGATTGGATTGGATGAGATTAGAAATTATCATCAGACATTTGATTTTGTTAGTAGAATTTTAGGAAAGTAATATTTTTTTCAAAAAAAAAAAAAAAAAAAAAAAAAACTTTTTGGGTATGTCGCTGATTTGATTGGTCCCATTATTCCCCCAGTGACCTTCAGGACGGTTCTCACAAGGCAAACATTTGGATCACCATGCATGAGGCAGCAGCAGAGGTAAACACCAAGTGACAGAGGAACTGACACCTCCCAATTACAGGCTGTAGGGTTCTTCATCCTCTCTCTCGTCCTCAGTAGAGAGAACATAGGATTGTAGCGTACTACAACAATAAATTAAGAGCCTTTTCAAAATTTACACTTGAACATCGTTAGTAGAATTACTGGCAATTACTGCCTTCTTAAAGAAAAAACATTACAAGTTTAAATAAGTCAAGTGTTAGTCCAAATTACTGGTAGCTGTGCACCACAGTTGGAATTACAACTGGTGACGCTTTTGTAAGTCTGGAGACTCTACCTTCTCTTCCTGGGCCTCGCTTAGCCCGGCAAGCTGCAGAAGGGTGAAACATTTCATTAAAGTGACGACGTCGTATTTTTATTTACACAGGAGCCAACGTTCATTCAAGTGTCTCTGAGGAGTTTGTGCTCGACGCTAACTAAACTGGCTGACCTTTACTGACACGGCTTCAGTTCTTCTGCATGGCCTACCCCTGCTGCCCCTGGCAGGGTGTGGTTTAATGCGGGGTACTTACCAGAATCTCACCCTGCAGTAATAGGAAGGGAAGTGGGGTTAAAGCAGAGGGGTAGTGTAAAAAATCAAAGCCAAAAACAAATTGGAAAATCAAAGAAGAGGACAGTGGAAGATAGGTAGAAGAAGTGAGGAATGAAGAGGTGGAAGTGAATGAAAAGTAAGAATAGTAGAAGAGAGAGGGGAAAAAAAGCGTTTAAGCAAACGGGAACAAGAAAACAGGAAATCCAAGAGGCAGCCAGAGAAAAGGATGAAAAAAGGACAGAGAAAAGGAGAGAGAGAGAAAGAGCAAAAGAATTACATGCAATTGAAATTACTTCAAGATATATCACAATTTGGTTATGTCACAATTGTTGCTCAGATGATTGTTGTGATATCCATGCACATCTTGAATTTTAATGAACCCAAAGATGCTTGGAAGTTAATGGGAAGGCAAAACAAACATCATTCAGTTATTAATCATGGTTGTGCTAATGTAACATGCCCGGACCGCATGCAGAGAATCAATGTCGATCCTGAAGAGACAAGCTTGTGTCAGAAAGCAGGGAACGGGGTCTTCCTCATACTATCTAACACAGCTCTCCCTTTAAACCGTCGTCGTCAAAAAAGGTGCGTTCAAAGAGATCAACGAGTTGTTGCAAAACCATTAAATAATAGACAAATATCGGCTTTAAAAGGTTGAACAGATAAACATAAGGACTACAAAAGACTGGGTGACAATATTACCAGAGGAAGAAATTGATTATTGGCTGTGGCTTGTTGACAATTTGATTAATTAGGTTATGTAATAGAATGTATCTGTGAAAAGATGATTAAACCTGGCATTCGAGAAAAGGACAAATCTAAGTGCCAAAACGTACCTGGTTGGGTACCGCCCTCTTTTTGTTTGTAGCAATGTTCCTCTGCTGAGCGCTGTCGCACACAAAGACAGACAGATAACGATGATGGAAACATTTGTACAGTTCCTATTCATGTCTGACACTGCATTTTTAAATAACACTATAATTACTTCCTGTTTTTATTCTTCTGGCTTTCATTCGTAAAAGGAAATCAACCATCAGCTTTTAAAGAAGTCTGAATTATTTATTTCACGACAAAAACACAAAGTTAGACAGACTTTTAAAAGGCTTTAAACATTTGTGCACTCTGAGAAGCACAGGTGCATTTTAATAAATTACAATATCAAGAAGTTCACTTATTTCAATTATTCAAAAGTGAAACTCATGTATTTATTGAACCCAGAGTGACATTTCTAGCATTTGTTTTCATCAATTATAATAATTATTGCTTACACTTAAGGAGAACCACAAAATTCAGTTTCTGGGAAACTATGAATGTTATGAAACATTTTTTTCAAAATAAACACATTATGTTTTGGTCGACACAGTCAAGGTGAAGACCACTGACGGAGGTTTTCCCAGCAGACTTTGTGGCGTCACTGTGCTTGATTAGCCAAGCAAACTAGCTTGGCTAACCAGGAACCTATGAAGTATTGCCAAGAAAGATGAAATATGCAAAATAATTCAGGCAATCTGAAGCAATCGGGGCTTCCTGAGCAGAACCACATTCTGATCGCCTCCACTCCACGCTGCATTTATCTGGTAAAAATACTGTGCAGTAAGAAGATGTAGACAATACAATAAAACATTTCTGCATCAAAAAAAAAAAAAAATCATACAATATTAAATATTGTTGCTCTTGAATATTAATCCCTTGTGAGATATGTCTTTAATATTATGCAGCGAAATAAATTAACTTTTCATTGACATCTATTTATGCACTTGTGTTGCAAACAAAACCTTGAATCTTTCCTGTTTGCCCACCTGTTGTTGCTGTACCCTGGGGAGCTACCATCATCCAGCCTTCTGTAGTCAAGACTGAAAGTGATGTCATGAAAACCATTAAACCGCTCTGGCTGACCTTTGATGCAATGCGTCAATTCCCTTGCCATGCAGAGGCATAACATAAGCCCTGAAACATGCTCCCAAAGGGACTTTTCTGTTACAAAAATCCACACTGCAGAGAAGCTTCACTCAACTATAAATTACTGTTACTGCTGCACTAGGAAGCACATGAAACCACCCGCAAACTCTAGATTGCTTTGAGATACACCACAAAAAAAAAAACATAAAAGCTATGCCGTGTGCAAATTAGTTTCCAGACAAAGCAGAAACAGATAAAAATCGCGAGCGCCGCTCTTTCGTCGAGTTCAACAAGCATGCTTTTCAACGACAGCATGATGCAAATAGGAACTTTTTTTTTTTTTTTCCCCCAGAAAAGTTTGACTTTTGGGGAAAGATGGGATTGTTTCATGCAAGGGGGGAAAAGAAACTCACAAATAACTGAACTTTGATCAACGGGGCAATTTTGATTATTGTGGCATCCATCTCCCTCCTCAGGGAGGCGCAACCTGTGCATAACTACTGGTGACATTTAGATTCATCACTCATTCTGATGAGGAGAGGAGGAACATAAAAGAACTGGGGCTGGGTTCAAGACTCTAAGCTGTAAAGCAGACTAATGAGAAGGATGGTTACATACTTAGCAAAGCCTATGAAGTCTTCATGGTTGGTGTTGATGTAAGACAGCTCAATGTCAATCAGCAGCAGAACCTTCAACAGAGAGAAATTAGATTAGGACGGAGATGACTTTAACCATACTAAGACAAGCCTCAAATTAGAAAGTGAAGAATCTCACATCTGATATGTCAAGCTTGCTCAAATAAGAAAAACCAACTGAAATCCATCAGGTAAAAGTGAGATGGCTGCGTACTGCAGCACTGAGGTTGAGTTGAGAAAACGGTATTACTCAAAGGTTTCCGTTTATAAAACTTTCAATTTACCAAGATCCTCACCAGAAGTTTTGCTATTCACTTTTTAAATCACTGTTTGAGAAGTTATTACCGTCATGTTTTCTGAAATCACTCATATTTTATTTGTGTTTTAGGATGAATTAAATGAGAAATAAATTGTCTCAAATTGTGTAAGAAAATGTGTCTTCTCTCATTTTAAATATTGAAAATGCAACCAAATAAACAGACATGTTTTTGTTTTTTTTTTGTCCGTCTTTGCTGCACAGCTGGTTAGTCAAGCATTTTGTTTTTAACACACAAACAGATAAGAATCTCACAAAACTTGCTTGCGTCTTTTTAAACTCATGTTGGAACTTGCGTAAAATACCGAAAGGAGGAACAACGCAAATAATTTTGCCAAACCTATTTAATTCCTGATTTTAAATTGGGCACAAACAGGTCTGAAAAGGTCCATAAAAGCTCTTGAGTACACCTCCTGTAATAAAATACACATAATAATCAGTCTGCACTTAGTAGAACCCATTTCATCTCTCAGATGTTCCCTGCTGGGCTGTTGGTGCTTGCTGTTGCAAACAGGGCAGAAAGTGAAGTAATGGCAGATAATTATTTGTAGATAACTGCAGGCCTAACCTCAGCTGTCTCTGGCCCTAAATGGGAACAGCTACAGAGGTTTTAATGCCATCTACTGATGAATGCAAAGATGGAACCTAAGTGGTGTTTAAAAGGTTCACAGTAGAGTTTTTTTTTGTTGTTTTTTTCCACTCACACTGGCACTGGAAGATCAGCAAATTGAGAAGCCGATGACTCATAACAGCTAACAAGCAATGTGGATGTCAGTTACTGACTTTTACCTTAGACTTCATCATATCTTCCTTTATATGCTAAACTACCACATATTAGAGTCGAAGCTAGAATTGATGTCAGCTGTTTCTGCATACTTCTTTTTAAAGGAGATAAAGATCAAACCATTTATTTTAACCACAAGGAGCCCTTACCAGTAAGCATGGTTTTAATGTGGGGGCTCATCTGAGCACCACAGCTGTTAATGCGCTGCTTCCTCAACCACCTCAAATAAGATGAATCACTGAGTCTAAATTGTTGCATTAATTCATGCATTCACACCTAAAACTGGATTAAGCATAAGATAAATATTTTTTAATTTAAGATACAATTTTCCTTCTAAAATTTCTAGAGTCAAATTTTCAGATCTGACAAGAAACAGCAAGGCCATTCTTTATTTCGCCCAACAAATGTTACAATGAAAGCTCGAACCGTGGTCTGACTTTCATTATCTGTATTTTCTGTAAAACTATATTTATTTCGTAAAGTTAAACTACTCTGACATTCAAATAAGAAATTCCTGCTTTGAAGGAATATTAAATCCTTCAAAGAGGCCTGCAGGTAACAGGCCTGCTATTGTTTTGTAAATAAAGTTTACAAATATGAAGCTGAAGCATTAGCTGGTTATGCTATCAAGCTTTACTAACTTCAAAACCATAACAATGTTGATTTCTGCGTGTCTGTTTATTCATTCGCAGCTTAGTTGACCCTCTGTGGTTCATTGTCTTTGGTGATCAGCATACTGCTATGAGTTCTGACTAGTTTCAGATTGATGCAACAAAGCAATGTTGCTATCTGAACGTTGCTAACATTCAAACAACGTGTGTTTATTACTTCACTGCTGTCAATATAGACTTTATGGATCTTTTAAAATCCGTCTCAAAACATCAACATGCGTCACCAGTCCAGTGGTGTTACTCAGTATGGTTAGCATCAGAGCTTGTCAACATCCTTTGACTTTTTCTGCTCTATTCTAGTCAGTTGTCTCACAAAGTTTCTCCAAGCAACTCCTTTGATTTCCAACTAAAGTTGTTCTTCCACAAACATTGTCTTTCTAGCTAATAGTATATAAAGTCTTCTGCTGTAGTTATTGTGCTCTTACTCTTAAAAACACATAAATCCCCAATTTCCTCACATAACCTTTTAAAACATGTTTTTAAAGCTTTGGTTCAGAAGCCCAATGGTAACAATGGGGAATAATGCCAGGTCCTGTAACGTCTCAAATTGCCCCTGGGCAACACAATGAACTGATCAAGATGATCAACGAGCCACCAGATCATTGGATTAAAAGCCTAGCAACGCACCTGATCCTTGGTCTTCCCTTCTCTTTCTCTTACGTGGGTGGTGACGATCCTCTCCGTCTCCTCTCTCAGTCTGGGGTAGGAGTTGAGCTGCAAGGAAACGCATCATGTAACTGCAGCATTTAACACAAGAATACAGGCATACACACACGCACGCACACTTACATTTAAGCTTTACCTTAGTAGGACTTACCAACAAGAATCAGAGAAAAACAGGAGTGAGAAGTGAAAATAAGTAGGAAACAAAGAAAAGAGTAAAAACATTGTCAAGTGACATTTCAGTGTCACACAAATGCAGGCAACCACAATCCAACACAAACACACCACAGACTGTAAAGACATGGAGGTTATTGGTGTTAGAGGTTATATACCAACAGTCAAAGATTACCTTAAATATGTTTAGTTAAGACACATTTAGTCTATGCCATACATTGGTAGCAAGACACCAAAAAGTATGAACTTTAGACATGCCAATACATGTTTAAACTCATCTGTGACTGGTGGTACTGGTTTGAATAAACAAATGATAGCAAAGACTGGACGATAGAGGAGGCAGAGGGAACCCAAAAGGCAGGGAGGAGGTAAGTTTGGCCAACTATGCATCATACAGCGTTTTTTACTGTGCCGTGCCCTCAATTGTCCACAAGATGGCAGTGATGCACTGTTACAAATGAAATGCTTTTGTCCAAGAAGCCACAGAGGGTGTGTTCTGGAAGTATCGTTCCTTTTAACCCCTCTTATCAGTTCAATTTCTTCCCAGTTCAGGTGATAGCAGAATGGCAGTCATTCTGCTGTGCGGATCAACAAGCGTGCAACACAGAACCGAGTCGGTCGGCTCTTAAACAGCAAGGGCAAAAAGGAAGCAGCGTGGGAGTGGGGGTAAAAAAATACATCTGAAAAGCTGATGCAGAGGTACAGAAATATGTACGCAATGAGTCGGATGGGGGACAATTTGCACAAAAATATTTATACTCTATGGTACTGCGAGATCAATAGAGAGGAAAAACGTGGCGATGCAGACTTTCAAAGCAATGATGAGCGGTGGATGAAAACTGGACTTTAATGGCCGTCATAAACACACACAAAAAAAAAATCTCTTCTCCCATCACGGCATTATAATGTGATATGCATCCCTGGTTACCTTATTGGCACACTTCATGATGAGAGCAGTGAGTTCAGTCACCACAAGATCCACACATTTGAGGCTGGGCTCTTTGAGTTTGCGGAGCTGCTTTTTGACAATCGTCTCGAATGCCAGGTCCGGGGTGAAGAGCCCCGTTCTGAAAGGTCACAGGGTTAGTTTGGCAATTTGTTGTGAAGGTGGTGGCAGGGGGTGGAAATAAAAAGAAAGAGGAATATTTGGAAAGACAGAGAGGAAGAAGACAGGATGTGTTTGCTCAGTTAGCCATTTTCTAGTTGATTAGAAAGAACTCAAACAGTGGAGGACAAGCTGCAGGTTGTTCATATTCTCTTCCCCAACAATCCACTTCCTTCTAAACTTGGTCAGAGTGGTAAAGATAGACATTGCATTCTGCTGGTCACATGTACTGAGCTATGAGACCTGCAGCTTGTCCAGCAGAGACAGCAGAATCTCGGTCCTGGAAACACCTCTAATCCATCACAACACACCACCCGTCACAACACTCCACATCACGACAGAGCTGCCTGAACTCAGCTTTCAGGGCCGGGCTGGCAGAGGGCAAACTGCACGGGATGTTCCTCAATTAAAGCATATAAACTAAATCTAGACACTACAGCTAATGTTCTGTGAGAGCATGCCCTCTGCTGCGCCCGTGGTTGTCCCTGCTCTGAGTCTTGGCTGGGTCGGGAGATGCTGGACTCTTGCAGTACCTTGTTGGTGCACTGCCTGACTGTGTTGATGAGCTCTTGAATGACCAGATCGATACATTTGAGACAGGGCGTTTTCAGCTTAACAATCTGCTTTTTCACGATGGCCTCAAACGCCAGGTCTGGAGTGAACAGCCCCGTTCTGAGGATGCACAGAGACAGAGGCACAGAGGCCGACACACATAACAGTTAACAGACATGTGGGCTGAAGCAAAAACAAAAATAAAATGTACAATGGAACAAAATGACAAAGCAGACAAACAGAGGATTGAAACAGTGACAACCTAAAATGGGGAGAAGATATGAAGTGCCAATGCAAGGCTAACAATGAATGTAGCACATAAGATGGCTCATAATACAAAACACAATAGAGACCAACATTACTTGAACACCTGATGAACTGAACACTCTAGTAGACACAAACCGAAAACGAGTGGGTGGCATTTCTGAGAGGCAGTCACCAAGAAACAGCAGAATGGAAAACATAATTCATAGGACAGCTGACAGTTTCTGAATACATCACATTCGGCTGGTACTGCTAGTCTGTAACACTTAGGTTTGAATTAAAGCTCTGACAAAAGAAGGACAACAGTATTCAGAGTCAAATATGTTTCAGAAGCGTTATCTTGGGAATTGTTGAAGTTGGACTGTACTTGCCTGACACCATGGACATTTTTGATTGCATGACTGATTTCCCTCCTCAGTTCCTTCTCATCAAATACAATCTGGAGAGCAAGTTAGACGATAAAGACTTTTAGCAAACCTTATAATTAAAGTGTATTTGACAAGACACAAACTACTTAAAACTCTAAGAAGGAAATTAACGCCGGCGCTCTTAACCTTGACTAGCTCGAAGGGGAAACGCTCATGGAAGAGTCGGTTGATCCTGGCGCCACCTGACAGCTCGTTAGTGTCCACCTGGTCCCCAGATCCCTCGATGCATTTTTCAAAGTCCACACCAAACTGTTGGACCATCCTTTATATATAACACAAATGACAGGAGGTCTGACAATCATCTCTTTCTTTACGCGTTCGAGACAAGACAGCTTTCATTTAGAATAGTTTGGATCTCTTTAAAGTCTAGCTATGATATTAGATTATGAAACTTTCCAATCCCTTCACATTTTTTTTATGTTCTGAAGCTCAAAGACGCCTCAATACGCAGCCTTAATGTGTCAACTGGTTACTAAATTTGCGTACTGGGAAAGTAAAACCCAAAAATCTTACTTTGGCATGTACAACTAAACACTTATGTGCCCTAGCTCTAGGTACTAAACGTTAATCATTAATTTGTATCTCTGCAGAGACATCAAAAGCTACACTCACTGCAACAACGCCTTTGTCTTGCGAGTCGGATCATCGGGACGGAAATTCTTGTACTCTTCCACCTCCTTCTCCAGAGACAGGAGTTGACTCTGCAGCTTACTGCGCAGCCCAGGCAGAGTGTCCCTGATGTGGTTGGTCAGTTGCTGCAAACCAATAGTCATGGTATTTTAGAAGGTGATGACAAGCAACGGCAAGGAGACCGTTTCAAAACAGAAACAGAATGACGCAGACCTGGTTGAGAGCTTTCTGTAGATGCGGAGTGCCCATACGGTCTGCCATGTGTCGATAGGCGGGGTGGGACAGGAAGAACTTTCTCTCTGCGGCTAAAGCAGCGCGGATGTCTTTTTTACCGTCAATGTCTTTTTGACTCCGGTTGACCACACCGATGTAACCTGTACACACATTTCGAACAATTATACAGCGAGTCTACATATTTCATGTAAATATATGTCTGGGTGCCACACAACACTGACCTCTCCTTAATGGAAGCAGTTTATTTTCAAGAATATCCTTTGCGTCTGTGCCTTCATCCATGAGGTCCAGTTTTGTAATGACACCAATGGTGCGAAGACCTGAACATATTTATAAAGAGCCGCATGTTTTAGTCAAATACCTTTCGTCAAGCAAAGTCTACTGGAGCAAACAACTAACAGCCGGTGGTTTAAATGAGAGATACAAAGAATCAGACTGCTAAGTGTAATGCTATGTTGATGTTTCGGTGTTGAACTTCATAAAAACTACGTGCTTCACCTTGTGGGTCCACCTCTTTGGCGATCTTCAAAGCGTCTGAGTTAGCCAGGTCCATGTTAGCAGGGGTGACTGCCAGGATCAGACAGCTCTCCTTGGTGATAAACTGCATCAGCATGTCTCTGATTTGATGCTCGATGTCTGGGGGCTGATCTCCGACAGCAACCTTGGTCATACCCGGGAGGTCAATAAGAGTCAGGTTCAAAACTGTCACATGAGGGGAAGAAAAAACAAGAATATAACGTAAGTTTCCTTTTATTCTTGAAATTTACCATAACCTGACATGAAGTAAACGTTCATGTTTATTAATAAAGAATTTGCATAATAATTAGAACAATGTTATTACCATGTGGAGAGTAGACCCTCAAGTTAATAGGGATAGGAGAAATGCCTTTATTGGATCCTGTAATTCTATCTGTTTCCGCCTCAATTTCTGCCCGCACTTCATCAAAATCCACAAACTTCTTTCCTTTGCAGTGCAGGAATTCAGCATGTTCTGCACAGGAGAAGAGTGGGAATGAGTTTGCAAGAGGTAGGCAGAAAAATAAGGAGCAGGGAGTAAGACAGAGAAAGCAGTGAGGAGAATGAGAAAATTAAATTTGAGACATGAAAGTAGCAATAGGGTGCCTAGCTTGAGGCACAGTGACAGAGAGGCCATATGCAGGGCAGTGATGAAAGAAAATTGGGATTTTGTGTTGCCTGGGAAAGGCGTACTCACCTGCTATATTATTGACCAGCTGCAAAATGAGAGGTCTGCGAGTAACAATGCCTGATCCGCGAGGAAGAAAGTCCCTGAGCAAAAAAAAAAAAGAGGCAGAAAAAATAAACAGCTGAAAGGTGCAGAACAAAAGCTCTAAAAATAAATACAAAGAAAACATGCTGGATTCAGCGCAGCAGGCACAAAAAACAACAAAAAACAAAAAGAAGAAAGGTCTAACTGACGAGCAATAACATTTAATTATTTATTATACTAGAGTCCAATTTGTATCATAGCCTTTGGTAATTTGATAAGAAAATGAAAATTCTTTATTCTCTACCTTGGTAAATGAAATGTGACTTTCATAATGTCATTAAAGCTTTAGAGATCAATGCATTTGCTGAATTCCCTTCTAAAATAAAGAAATTTTACCCAAACACAAATTCTGAAACATTTTACACAACTTTCTAATCATGTTCTAATTTTGATTACAACAATTTTTATTAAATAAGTAAACAAGGAGCCATCTTTCATACTATAAACTTAGCCTAGCTAATTCTAGGTGTAACATTTTACCCAAACTCAAAACTCAAATCTTTAAGTGATTCTCATTGGATATGCCAACTATCTGCTACAGCACAAAAACACAAATGTGAGATTAACTGGTTGTTTTAAATTCCCATCAGGAGTGAGTTTGGTCGCCCTGTGATGGACACAGTCAGGGTGTGTCCCACCTCTCACCCAATCACCACTGGAAACAGGCACCAGTCCACACAGATAAGTGGATGTACACAAAGGATGAATGTTGAAGAAAAAAATGAGTCAGAGGGAATAAACTGCAGCTCATACAGTGCTGATCATGATAAAAAGGTATTTTATTTTGTTTACGTAGACCTCTAATGTGCTATGCAGAGATAACTGTAAACAAACTGCAGACTGCAATGCAATCTAATGATGCAATCTAATGGCCTTTGGCAACATTAATGTTAGCAGCTGAACAAAAAGCAAACGATCATTATCGTGCTTCAATTGTGTGGTTAGATACCCCTGCTTCAAAGGATGGATTCAAAGTTTTGTTATCGACAATGATTAAAGTACTGTTAACTTTTTAGTTGTAGTACGTGTGAAAGGGTCAAGTGACTGTTTTAAAGCCTTAACTGAGACTTTATGCTGATCTGGTCAAAAAGACTTTCAGTTATAAAATGCTGAGGATTTTATTGCAACACCATAACTTTAAGAGGTTTGCCTTTTAGCACCTACAGTTTCATGCTTGATCAGCGTTTACTCGTTGAAATATACAAGCGAGCAAATGTGGAGCAAAAATGACAAAGAATTACTGTACACACACTTTTACAAAGGACATTTACCTTGTTTTTATTTTTTTTCCTGAATATGATTACAATTTACTGATTATGCTGACACTGTTCTGGTTTAGTGTCACTAAAGTGCTTCATGAATATGAGAGCATGACTGACATGTTTATTTAAAACTACTTCTCAACACCTTTGTTTTTTGTATCAGTCAAATCAACAAAATAAGATGGTTTTGGTGACTTAATCTTTCAAGTTTTATTTTAGGAGTTAGAGAAGTAACAGCTTGTTTTCTGCTGTAGGGTGACAAAATATGCTTTAACATATTTTCCTCTGCTTCATATCCAAAAAAAAGGTTTATTATTTAAATGCACCCACGTCCTAAATCCTTATTCGGTTTTATTTATATTTGATCTGATTTGAATTCTATTTAATCAACTCTAAATTCAAAAGAAAAGCCTAAAATAATTCAGCTAGGGTGAAACTAAGTGCAGACTGTCTCTTAGCAGTGGAACAACTTCTGTTTTTAGCTACAACTGTAAGAAGTGTGGCAACAGAGAGCGGTGCCCTGAAATAAGCAATTTAAATAATAGCACAATAACAAATAAGTTTAAAGTATAAATAACTGGATTATCAGAAAGATCATCACATGTCTTGATCATAAGGTTTAGCCATATGACCTTATTTTTTTTTTTGTGACTTAAAATGATAAAGGTCTCAACACCTTTGACATTTTAAAAGGTGTTTTAAAATGACAAAGATGTAAAACCAATGTTTTACTTCTGTCGCAGCTTAGCAACAGTTACTTGGAACAAAGCAAATAAAATATATGACCTAAGTGAGAAGCCGCTCCCATGGTTTCTGACAGTGGCAGGGAGAGATGTGTCAATAAACCATACATGCGCGGCCCTCAGACCTGAGACGTGGTGTTGGCCTGTGATGATTACTCTTGGCCACTTTTTTTTTTTTTGCAAAAGGCTAATTGCAAAATGCAGCCTGCAAAGCAGTGCACAAGACAATTGCTCAGTCACAAACTAACCACAACAAATGCTACAGGTGCAAGAATGAATCATTGAGATGCAGGCAGGAAGAAAGAGTTCAGTCTGTTTGTTCTCCTTTAGCCATTTGCACAAAACACGGCTGACATGACAGGAATGATTGACTTTAAACATATTAGCCCTTAGCATAATCACAAATATGCAATTCTAAAATGACCATAAATTGAGAGCAAAGCAAAACCAAAGAGAAATTATTTGTTTGTTTGCACAAACTTGCCAATAAATGCAATTGCAATTCTGTTGTGAGAATTATTAATAGCAGAAAAAAGTTGCAATTTTTTTTTACTGTTTATTTCCAGACTCTGCAAATTGTGAAACAAAAGCTTTTCCAGTAGTTCATATAGAGAAGCAGCTCTTCAGCTGCAGCTAAAACGTTGGTTCAGTTTTGCTTATTCAGCTCAAAGCAGAAAAAAGAAAAGTTGGTGATGCAATAAACTATTTTAGGTCAAACCATGGAAAAGGGATGTCTTACTTACTGTCTTTAATACTCATCCAAAAAAGCTCAGAGGAAGATTCTACTCACCACAGCTCTGGTTATACTGGCTTCTTCTCTGCCAAAGTAACTACTGCACTTTAAACTTAAGTGAACATTGGGGGCAAACAATCATCTTTGAAGAACTAGATCCTACACCACCAACCAAAAAGCGAAGCACTGGTGAAGGAACTTAAACAGCAAACCAATACAGCTGAAACCTCAGCATCTTGTATGGAATAAAACTAAACCTTTCCAGTTGTAAGGTAGGAAATATTCAGTCAGCTACTCAAAATATTCAACCTAAGTAATACAGTTTGAGCTACTGAGGAAAAATATGTGAACTCATACATTTAAGAAACGTAAGGTTCTCTTAAAGTGATATACTTCCTTATTTTTGGTATTGTGTATATAAATATTTAAATCAGAATTTATGTAAAAGAGGAAAAGTTTAGACTAACTTAAAGCAGCAAAATCAGAACCTCATAGTGCTCCCTGGTTTGCTTCCAATATTAATGAGACAGTAATATTTCAACAGTCAGGCATTTCTAGTATGCCTGACTGTTAGAGTCATATATTTGACTCTAACTGCCTATATTTTATATTTTTAGTGACTAAGATGCTAAAATTCACAAAAAGAGATGGAAACATCATGTAATGGTGAAGAAAGAAGAGTCAGGAAAATTGAGGATTGATCAGAATCGATATTCTCTTTGCAATGTTCAGCTTTAATACAAGTATTATAAACATCGCATAGGGTTCTAGTCTGATCCGATGTCGGATTACGTTTCTGTTTATTCAGCTTATTTTAATTTCTGGTTCCAACTGTCAGCTACTGATGATACCTATTCCTCCTCTCTGCCTCACAGTTCCTTCTGCTGCGGTAAGAAACATACATCTGGTGGAAATTACTCAATCCAGTCACTGAATGATTGTAGCAGGGCTCGGGATGGCACCAACCCACATGATTCTCTCTTTATTTTCCCAGCAGAGTCAGACCTACATAACTGAAGAGAATGAGGCAATGCTCACCCAGCCATCTGATTTCAGATTAGATACTATGTGTCTGCCACAAGGCAAGAGTTGCCATGGTATGCTCCCAGACTGTGGTCACACAGAGTAGAACCTTCTGGATGGTACCCAGAACAAAAACGCACTAGTCAGCAAAAAGCCACACGTCTGTGGTTTAGCGCTGGTGTTGTATCATGGACAAAGTGTGAAGCACGCAGACCGTTGTCTCCATGTTTGGCGGTACAAAACGCTCAGTTTGAGGCTTGTAAGCAAGCGAGAGAGAAGGAGACAAAGTATAAAATCAATTCCAGCCGAGGGAAAAAGACAAAGACGCTCAACTATCAGAATACTAAAAAGTTTCTGCTTACTGAGCACAACAGTGATCTCTCTAAAACCATTGGCGGCTCAGAAGAGAAGATTATTTCTAATTGTCTAAAGCCTTTAAGTATACTGACAATCAAGGTTACTTCAGTGTTTTTTTTTTTAACAGTTAAACCTTCCAGGCTAAACAGGAACTTTGGGTGAAACTTTTATAATGTAAAAGTAAAGCTCCATACTTGTAAACACAAAAGGGAATTATCCTTGAAGTCGTTCTCTTGTGTCTTCGCAGTGGAAACGACACACACAGGCAGAAGTGAGCCATTCGGTTTTTATAGAGAGAATTGGATAAATGGCAGCGGCATAATAAAAAGAAGCAAGCGGTCAGGATTCTATTATTGATGGCCTTTAAATGATAGAGGAGGCTCAGCAGATTGTGTATCATTTCATCAATCATTTATAGTCAAGCTAAGAGCATCAGTCTGTGTGCCTCCCTCTAAGAAAGCAGAAATCAGAGGAGAGTAGGGCAGCCTCCCTAATCAGCTACAGCTCACAGCCGAAAGTTTCTTTATTTCAGCAAACAGTGGCTCACAATGACACGCTTCCCAAAAGGACCACTGTGAGAAACTTTGAGGTTATACTAAATTCTCAAGAGAGCATGGTTGCACAGAAATTTGCTTGTGGTTTGATCGAGCTCTTTCAACGGACCATCAGAGTGGCAAAGAACACATAATCATGGCTACCCGCATTCCCACATCCTTCAGTGACTGTGAGAACCAAGAGGCAACCCCAGGCACCCGAGCCTCCTCAGACACAACTAAAATCCAACTGCTTACTGGAAAATCCCTTCAATCACTATTTGTTTGTCTTAGCTATCCCACAAGCTTCAGGGATGACAGATTTCTGTTTTCAGCTGAGAGGAGGTTTGCTTTGCTAAACAGAGATGACATGATGGACACTTTTTAAGACAACTTTGATTTAAACTAGGCGCCTTTTTCTTAATTTTTGAAAAATTGGCTGATACTTGCACATGAAACCGGTCTTACTCCACAAAGGTCTGAAAATCTGTCACTGTCTGCTTTTGCTCTGCAGTGACAGAGGATTGACTGACGGACCCGCCCAGAAGGTCACTGCACAGTCCTGAGGTGACAACAGTCACATCATCATTGGCAACTTTGTTGATAGATTTAGCAAGTTTTCAGTGTCCTCTGGCAGTGTCAGTTATAAAATAAGAAAAAAATAATTGGTATCGGCAAGTCAAGCTTTTTAAAGATCGGTGAGCGACCAGAAAACTGCAATCGGTGCACCTCTAATTTTAAGAGTTAGGTTTTTAGTTAACAGGACAAAGCACCAAGGTTCAACTGCTGGATGGCTCACTCACATACAGCAGCCTACAGCTATACAAACAATTTACCTAAACGTATGCAAATTGTTTCAGGGTTTGTTTGCCATGGTTTATGTCACAAATCTGATAACTCTTTCCACCCAGACCAGTCCACAATGCCAGATATGATATCTGAATTACCAAGTGTGATGATTTCACAACACAAAAATGAATAATTTAAAATACAGCTAAGAGTGTGGGTTATTTGCATTGTGACCGTGCCAGGAAGGTACCATTTCTAAGTTGAACTGCTATGTTAGTGCTACTGTTTTTTGTTTATAAGTTATTCGAAAAAGTCTCACTATTCAGAATTTCAAATATAATAAGACTGAAGAGGAAATAAACAATAGAAATATGTATTACTGCAAACTCTAAGGCAGAGAATGAGTTTCTATTACATGCTTTACTTAAGTTGTAATAATGAACACTGTGTTCCAACCAAGTCATATTCTAATCAAACATTTGTCTGTGTATCATAGTCAATGTGAACTTCGCAAGCAAACAAAATGTGCAACTACAGGATGAATTCAGCTGCTCAATAAAAAGAAATTATGGTATTTTTATTGGTTACTTAGTTATGCCTCTTCAGCTCATCATCGTACATGGTGTTTATGTTGTTCTGGTTCACGACAAAACCAAACAAAAGAGCCAACTTCCCCTGCATGCTGACACGAAACTCCAAGTCCATCCACACTTCAGACCACTTCAACTTCTGAGAAAGTTTAAAAACCTGAATAACTCAGCTCATCAGACAGTTAAAGAGACGATTCTCTAAATAGAGCTAAATGGAGGAAGATAGTCTTAAAATTTGTGGTGAGAAAATAAAATAAAAATCTAACCATTATGTGTGGACAGACTAATATATTCAATGATATATCCATGTGAACTAGTGGCGGCATCCTTAATTAGGGCTGTGAACATGATTTGACTCTAAATAGCAACATCGGTGCAATGATAGGAAATAACTGTGAACAGCACAAAGACGTGATATCTGAAAATTAATGCTTCTCTTTTAACTGGAACAGCAGAAACACGGCAGTGAATATGTTACGCAAAACACCAAGTTTTGACAGGAAGTGGGCCTAAAACATCTAACAAAAATTAGTCTAATTGTGAGGATTCGACAAAACTGCAAATGTTGTGAACACAGATGTCAGTGTTTGGAACCAATCTAGAAAGCCTGGAAAACATTGGTCATTAAACTGACTTTACAACCTAAATTAGCTGTTTTTACTCCAAGCTACCCTCTGCTCCTCTAAGCAACAACATGTCTTCTAGATCGGAAAAAAAAGAGAATTACTAATTCAGCAGCCACATCAAAAGCTAGAGATCTAGGAACTGGTTATTTCCTTAAAATAGTGGCTGCAAAATGGCTAAAAGCCTCTTTATAAACAAATCAGACTTAAATGACTTCAGGAAGATGGATCACCAAGACTGGATGAAAAATGGGACTACTACTAGAAATTACAGCAAAGGAGTCTTCTGGTCAAACTGTCTTTTTTTTCTAATGAAATGAAATAAATCTGGGCAGCACCAAAAATGCTGGGGAAAGACATTTTCTGCTTGAAATGAGTACATCTGTAGGTCAGGACTGCTTCTAAATATACCAACTAAAAGTCAGCAAAAAGTTCAAGCTGGCGAGACAATAAGAGGAAGCATTTTCTCTGTCAAGATCAGACTAGTTGTTGTCTGTAATTCATGTCATGACATGCTATGTATAAATTTCAATTGTAGAAAATAAATGGGGGCGTTTTTCCTCAGACAAAGATTTTAATCCTACCATGCACACAAAAAAACAATCTTTGTCAAAGTGTGAACTATAGATAAGCAGTAACAAAGTTATACACTACAGACGGACTAAAACCACTGCAAACAAGCTGCACTTGAAGCATCCAATTAAACAATAGCTTTTGGCATAAAAAACACCAACTCAACACATGACAAAGCTTTTATGTTATTGACTCCTCCTGGGCTCAAACACACCCTAACATCAACAGTGACTCATGAGCCTGCTTGTTGTCATGGTGATGTGGAGCACCACCCGATTACTTACATATTGTAGTAAGGCTCCACCTTAAACAGATGGCTTCGATTTGTACAACTCACCTTGCCTGCTCTCAAAGTCACATGCGCACCACTGCCAGTGCACCACAGGTAGAGTATTAACTGAGTATTTGTGTTATGATGTTTGATGCTGTGAAGTGCTCTTCACAGCACCAAAGGAGGAATAACAAATGGCATTTTAAATTGAATTGAACTGAACAATAACAACTCTAATCACTGCAGAGACAGCAGAAAGAAATCAAAAATGGAAATGACAGAACGAATTAGGATAACACATATTTTAAAAAGTCAGATCCCTCTGAAACGCAATTATCATGTATTGAGTGATGTTACATCAAGTCATTTGAATTAATGTACATCAATTAGAAATACATTAATCTGCAAAGTTACCCTTGCCTAAGAGAAACATTCTGTTTCTAATGTGCTTTTATCCAACAGTCAGTGTGCATGTCATTTTACCACCCATGTGTTTTTTCTACAGTGCAGTGCACTACTGTGAATGCGAGTGACACTGAATGGGGCTGAAACCTGCTAAACAAGTTCCTTTAAAGCTACTTGTTTTGATTTTTTACCCTCACTGCCTGCTTATGGGGGAGAGGACAAAAGGATAAACTTGTTGGAAGATGAGAAAGCCAAGCCGCAGGGAAGCAATGTCACTTCAAGCCTCCAAACAACAAAGGCAGGTCTTTCCCATTTCCTTCATTTCTAAACGCTAACCATAAACAAAATCAAAAGAGGAAGACTGTGTAGGAAGTTGTGTCCGCTACAGTTGTGGGGTAAAGGAGAAATAATGTTGACATTTGAAAAAGAGTGACAGTAGACTTTAACTTTATGCTAAAAACTGTCGAGATAAAAATCAGCAGCCCAAAACAAGTTGTGACATTATCGAGAAGTGTTCTCCTTCTGCACTTCCTAAAAAAAAAACACTGCACGGAAGAGCTTTTACAGTTAACAGATATTGCAACTATTGATTAATGTGTGAATAGTGTCAGAATTTCAGGGTGTGGCACTAAATATGCAAAGGGGACACAGGAAAACGATTCTGACAAACTGATTAGTGAGAAAGGCACGTTGTTGAAGCTACTTTACAAGAAAGGCTGGTTTCTTGTCATTACATTGAACATGTACTAGGAAGCGTAACTAGGTTAGTTTAGCTTTTTGATAAATATCTTGCCGAAATACTCCTATCACAAGCAAGCATGCATTTTTAGAATGTACCAACACAAACAAGAGGAAAGAGAAAAATCTTTGCAACAGATATCTAACCTAACCAACCATTCTCGCTTACCTGCCGACAAAATTTTCCAGTACAGAGCTTTTCCCTGCACTCTGTCCGCCTACCACAGCAATCTGAGGAAGGTCTAAATTGACACTCTGACCAATTGAACTGAAGGCGTCTTGTAGCTTGTTGATCAGGGGAATCAGGTCTTCCATGCCCCGGTTCCCCATGGCTTCGTTAGCTCAGAGAGCCCTTCAACACACCGCAGACCGGAGGCTAATGTTAGCTTAGCAGCGAGCTGCTCTCGGGTTACTCTGAAAGTGTTCAGCACCGCCGCTTCAAGCAGCTCGCTTCTTGTAATCTCACTTTGAAAACCGGTGCGCCTGTCTGACGAGGGTAATTCAGAGAAACATAACTTTGTATCCTTTAACGCGCATTAATTAGGACCTGGGCGAGACGAAACGGACGGAAAACTCGCAAAACAAAACTTCCTCTACACAAACGCTATCCGGTTTGAGGACATGACGTCAGATCGAAACCGGTGAGAATAGATCCACCTACTTTTTTTTTTTTTTACAAAGCCGAGACGTCTATTGGCTAATCCAGAAGACTCTCCTCAGAACTATGTTTTCATTGGGTGTTCAAAAGGCGTGTTCGTCATGCTGAGCAAGAAACACGTTTCTAATTGGTCAAACAAACTGTCGGTCGTTTCCACTTCATGTCAACGGTCGGAGGAAATATGGCTGCCCCCATAACCTCTGAAGCAGATGGAAATATCAAAGAAAACAGCATGTTTTTAAAGAAAACTTTATCCGCCGTTCCGCCTCTTACTCTGAGGATTGTTGCAGAATGTCCTGTGACGAAAGCAAGAGCTTGTGATCTGACTCTGCCTCACTCCAGTGTCAGCACGCCGGTTTTTATGCCTGTTGGGACACAGGGAACCCTGAAGGGGATCACCGCGGATCAGCTGGAGGGTCTCGGTTGTCAGATTTGCCTGGGAAACACGTACCACCTGGGCATGAGGCCGGTAGGTAGATTAAAGTATCGACGTTTGCATTTTCTTTAAAAATATGTTTAGATTTAAATTGTTTAGAGTTATTGGCTGTAATCCCCTCAAACATTGTAACAGTTCTGGCCATAATTCACCTATCAGATACTGTTCCCCCTGTGTTAAACTGAGGGAACGGTATCTGATGGATGATTTTTTTTAACTGCTAATTTTTCACCAATAAAGATCTCTCTTGTTTTCATGTGGTTACCACCCTAACTCTAAGTCCAAATGTTACCAGATGTAAATGCCTGCAAAATCAACGAATGAACATTAATGTATTATCTCACTGTATTCTTTTGATGCCAAACTCAAAAGTTTTAATTTCACCTTGCCTTCTAGTGTTTTTAGAAGGGGGTGTAAATATGTACTTTTTCCTTCTTGCTTCACTATCTCCAGGGACCTGAGTTGATAGAGAAAGCCAACGGTTTACATGGATTCATGAACTGGAGGAGAAATCTTCTAACTGTAAGTGTACATTGAACTTTTTGGAAAAAAATGTATTCTGTTGTATAGACAAAGGTTGCATAATATGTTTTCATCTCAAAATCAGTATCACAGTCTGTTTAGAATATAATATTTTCCATCTACGCTATCACAATGTCAGGGAATGACATATTTCCTGGCATTAACAGGCCTAAATGGAGCCTTGCTGCAGTAGTTACTCCGATACTGAGGGCCACAAAGAGTGATGGGAGGATTATAATGACACAAGAAAAACTGATTGTCAATACTTAAAAATAATGTTCCAAATTGTAGAGTTTTCCAATACTGTGCTACCCTGTAATAAATATCAAGGGGATATGGAATAAAATTTATATGAAAAACTTGATTTTTTTTCTCCCCCCCTTTTTCTTTCAGGACAGTGGAGGATTTCAGATGGTGTCTCTTGTTGAACTCTCAGAGGTCACAGAGGAAGGGGTCAAATTCAAGTCCCCATATGATGGCAAAGAGATCTTGTTGAGCCCCGAGAAGTCCATTAGCATACAGAACAGTCTAGGTGAGCTAAGTATGAAGTGTTATAAGTTAGTTTTAAAGCATTTTAATCATTCATGCTTTTCAGGGCTTTTCATTATGTCTGCCTCTTTTGCAGGGTCAGACATAATGATGCAGCTGGATGATGTGGTCAGCAGCACTGTGAAGGGACCGCGGGTGGAGGAAGCCATGCATAGATCCATTCGTTGGCTGGATCGCTGCATAGCAGCTAATAAGCATCCAGATAAACAGAACCTTTTTGCCATCATCCAGGGAGGACTAGATGCAGAGCTGCGCAAGGCCTGCCTGGATGGTAAAAAAGAGAAAATATATAAGATAACCTCCTATATTGAACGTTTTGGAGATTCGTTTTTCTTGGAAGTTCACAATACTCAGTCTCCTTCTCTCATTGTTTGTCTTCATGCAGAAATGACTAAACGTGATGTTCCTGGTTTTGCCATTGGCGGCCTGAGTGGAGGAGAGGAGAAGGACGATTTCTGGCGGATGGTCACACTGAGCACTGACCATCTGCCACGAGAAAAGCCTCGCTACCTGATGGGTGTTGGGTGTGTTCTTCTTATGCACACGACTCAAGAACTGTGCTGTTTATTTGCTATTGAGCCACTAACCAAGAACCTGTGTATCCCTCACATGGGGCAGGTATGCTCTGGACTTGGTGGTGTGCGTCGCTCTGGGATGCGATATGTTTGACTGCGTCTTCCCAACCCGTACTGCAGTAAGCTCCCTTCACCTCACCTGCTGGAAAAAAAAAAAAAAACTGGAATATTTTAGTTAAGGTGATTGATCCACACAGATAAGTGATTCTAAGTTTGTCTGTGACCATGATTGTTGTCTTTCCTCAGAGGTTTGGTTCTGCCTTGGTACCGTGGGGGTCTCTTCAGGTGAAGCAGAAGCAGTACGCCAAAGACTTTCAGCCTATAGACCCCGACTGCCAGTGTCCCACCTGCAAAAGGCAAGTGAATGAAAAACCCTTTACATTTCAAGCTGGAATAGCTGAAGTTTGCTGATTATTTTACATTGAAACTTTGTTGATAATGGATGTCTGACTTCTCAACCTATCAATGGTGAGTTATGTTGTCAGCAGAAAATGCTTGAAACGTATATAATCCATGAATGTAATTTTTGTTTTCTTAACGTTCTTATTTATTTCAGACATAGTCGGGCCTACCTGCATGCTTTGTTTAAGAGTGACACTGCCGCCATGCATCACATCACCATTCACAACATTGCCTACCAGGTCAGTATTGGAAAAATCCTACAAGCTAAATGTAACTTCAGACTTATTAGTATTATTAGATGACTCATTTTAAAACACATTTCTTTGCTGAATGCATTATTTAAATGTTAGTATTTCTATTTTTTTTTATTGTTTTTTTAGATTTGATTAGTGAATTAGATTACATGAGAAAAGGTTCAGTTGGAGTCGAGATGGTTTCAAAAATATTCAGCCTAATTATAATTATCCTTTTCTTGAATTTCTGACCTTCTTTTTTGTTTTGAAGCAACACAAACTGTCCTGTTGTTTAAACATAATCCACTCAATGGAAAGCCTCACAGTTACATAAACAACAAGGAGCTGTTGGAAGAATTTAATAGTGCTGTTATAATACTGTGTTTCAGGCAGAACGCCTGTGTTTTCAGGACAGAAAGCCTTTGGCAATGATAGTATTCATTGCCAAAGAATTATTATTCTTTGGCAATGATAGTATTCATTGCCAAATAATACCATCATTCTTTGGCAATGATAGTATTGCCAAAGAATAAAGCAGCTCATTCTGGTTTCACAGCGGCTCCTTTTATCACCAGAACAGCTATAAAAGTCATTTTTTATCTATGTGCCATAAAAGCTTACTTTAAGAGTTAAGAAGAATGGGAGGAATATTGGCGGCATCATTAGGTTGCTTTATGAGAAATGGAGACTTTTTTAATCTAAGAATCTTGGCAGCCACAAGCCGTTACAGCTTTGGCTCATCACTGGAGCCCAGTTTCGTTTTTACTCTGCTCATGTCTTCCAAATAAGCATTTAGCCTGTTTAAACTACAATCTTGATGGGATGAATTTACTCTGTCCAATGCTCACCTTTTCTCACAGTGATGTATTGTGTACTTGCTTATGATTGTAGCTGAAAATTAAATCCCATAAATGAATTTTTCCGTCAAACTCAAAGTGTCAGTAAGGAATTAGAAATGACTGAACATCGCATGGTAGATATTGATGAATTGGTCGGATAGATGGTGCTCTCACATGTGCTGAATACAGCAGGGAGGTGAGGAAGGTTTAAGACAATGATAAATAATTTCAACTGAATAAGACTGAATTTTGTGTGTTAACAAATTCTTAGTTTAAGGGTGCACTCATATGTGCACCCAGGTAATAGCATCTGTTTTCTTTTTTTAAAAATTTCTAACACTAACACATCGGGTTATTTTTCTGCTGAAATTTACAGAATATTATATTAAACACACACACACACACACAACAGAAATTATTTCTCATGATTTTTACTTTTTAAGTCCTGAAGCACCTGAAACACCAGTAGGTATCAAAACATTATTTAAAAATCCCATTCCCTGCAGGACAATGACACTTTTTGTATTAAATCCCCTCAGAGGGTTTTTTTTTTTTTTTTTTTTTTTTTTTAACCAGTGGCTTAAAGAACAAAATAAACAATCAGAAATGTTCAACCAGGTTCTGAAAGCTTTAGATAATAATCTACTTTTGCCTGATGGTATCCGTGGGAGGAAATGGCAGTTTGCAGAGTCCCTACCTTTCACTCTGCAAAGCACAAAAGACCTATTAAAAAATCCAGAATATCCCCACAGGATATTTATCCAAACCGAGCTAGTCAGGATAGTTTGGAGGCGAAAGCGAGAGACCTTCTTATACGACATTGTTGCCTTCTCAAATTGAACCCCTACATGTCACCGAATGTTACTGTTACTGCACCTTTAATTCGGTGTGGTGTTTTAGGCACTCATTTTTCCTTCATCTGGTTTAATGATTTATTAGAATTCAACAGACGTCAGTAATAACGTAAATAAATATCCTGCTGCCGCTGTATAAAACTCAGACTGCTCAGATTATCTTGACCTGAAGCTGACCTTTTTCCTCGCAGAAGATGCGCAGCAGATCATAATGGATCACTAGAGGTTTACAGTAATCAAATGATCCTTTCCTCTGTTCATGAATGTTTTTTTTCGTTTTTTTTTTTCTTCTCTATTCAGCTCACCCTGATGCGTTCTGTGAGGCAGAGCATCGTGGAAGGCCGCTTCCCTGAGTTCATACTGACATTCATGAAGCGAATGTTTCCGTCGCCGGATCAGTACCCCGGCTGGGCGGTGGAGGCTTTGGCTTCTGTCAATGTGACTTTGGAGTAGAATTTTGAAGCTGGACTCTGAATGGAGGAAACCATGAAACAGACTGATTTCTTTTTTTTTTTTTTTTTAAAAACATTTTTCTTAAATAAGTTTTTCACATGAGATTGTTTTCTACTCTTTGCATTTTTAAGGTATTTGTAAATACCTCATTTCACAATCAGCCACCAAAGGAGGAAATTGGCTTTAAATTAGGTTTGAAACACACGACTCTTTCCTCTGAAATACGCTGTTTTGGTTACCATGGTTACAGAAGAAATCCTTTTTAATTTATTTTTTTTACTTTTCCGTCAGTCCTTTTATAGACTTAATATAGCTCAATAGTATTTTATTTTCACCACTGCATAGTGCTTTTCTGAGCTCATCTCTATTAAGGTTTTTGTTTTTTTTTTTTTTTAAACTTGCATCTCAACACATACAGCTGATTAAATTTGGCTGCCTGCAGATTGTCTGTTTGCTCCTAGATGACCACTAGAGGGCGAAATAGATGCATCTTCCTGAACTTCTGCTTCCAAGATAAACCAAAAGTACATAAATCAAATAAAGGTAGATTAAAGATTTGGAGTGCACAAACACAGCAGTATCAGATTGGACACGCGCCAAGCTCTTCATCTAATTAAATGAGTGTTCCTTATTGGATAAACACCTGAGCTCACACAAGTGTTGATTTGCCAGGGTCAGGTTGAGGGAGATTAATATTAATTAATGGAGGTTAATTTGAATAACATCTGTTGTCAGCACTCCTAAGTACCCCATTTGAATTTCATTACTTTTTCTCCTATGACCAGAAGATTAATGCTGCTTCATCCTTCAAGAAACTAAAATGTTGCACAAAGTTGGGTGTTGCATTAAAAACACAGGGGGGGAAAAGGTGAATTAGTTGCAATATTACATTATATATGTTGGCTGTTGAAATTACATATTTGAAAAAACAAAAATCGAAATAAGTGAGGAAACCAACATGTTCTCCCCGATGAAAACGAGTTCATTTTCCTCATCTTCTGCTTCCACTGAGTAATCTAATTAAATTTAGTTTATGAATAAAACAACAGCTCTCAGCTTACTTGGCAAGCCACCCAGAATCGCGTTAAATGTCTTCAAATGAATATAAACCATCTGCAAATCAACTCATTCCCGTTGTATATTTCAGCTGTGCTGTTCCAAACGTAATTATAACTAACTGCATCCACTTTAAAGTGACTATTTAGTCAGCAGTGGAGTTGAGGTTGAAATAAATAAAATAAAAAAAAAAGCGTGGAGAATTCCACGCCTCTGAACCTCTCCTGAGTGTGTTTGGCATTTCTGGGGGGTCAAGGGTGAATGTGGGACAGATTGCAGAGCAGTAAATGCTGTCACAGTTCAGCGTGGATTCGGTGAAGATCGCTCTTTGCTAATTGCTATTTTTATGTTGTTGTAAGCCACGATTTCATAATTGCATCTTCAAGCTGTCCCCTTTCTGTGCGCGCCTGCCCCTCAGTGCGTCCATGCGGAGCTCGGGCGGGGAGGAGAGGATGCTGCTGTTGGGAGAGACAACCAGTTGCGCTCAGCCTGAGAGTGGAGTCTCCCCTCCCTCCAAGCACCGAGGGATGAGCTTCCTCGACCTGTTGCCTCGTTTCGACTTGCAGTAAAGCTGCTCTTTTTGCTGTTGTTATTGCGCAGACTGGAAAGGAAGAAGTGGATTTTTCTCTAAAGGGGGGAGGCTGAGGACAGTGCCATGAGACGGACCAATGTATTCGTCTTTCATTTACGTTGTGAATATCAGAAGGAAGAGTAGCGGAGTTGTCGGTTCCGGGAGCCACCTTCTCGGTCCGGAGGTGCGGTTTGCGGTGCTATTTCTCTCCAGCTCCGTGTTTTTGAGGGAGGTGAACCATGGTTGAACTGGAAAAGGAGGTGCTCCCGTTGCCCCCTCGGTACCGGTTCCGAGACCTGTTGCTCGGGGACTGGCAGACTGATGACAGGTAAGATGACAGCTTGTCTCTCCTCGTAGCGTTTTTACGCACGGCGCGCTGCATCTGTTGCGCATCTCTGAAACGGAGAGAGCGTCACATCAGTTTGGGATGAGAAGTAGCTCGCAGAGACATAATGAGCCCATTATGTCAAAGCTCAGCGCTTCAGGTGTACGAAGCAGCCACGCTGTCGACCTGTTGGATGTTGCAACAAGTTCCTCTTTTCCTTGTGTGCGCAAAAGCGAGTGTTAGCGAATCTAACTGGCAACTACACAACCCAGTATTCAAATGAATTCATTTAAAAGTCAAAACGACAGCAGGAGGCCAGCAGTAAAAACATACAATGCTTTATTATATAATTTCATTATTTTTTTTTAAATGTGCAAATAAAGGGATTTGGAACAAGTCATTCAGCAAAATCTACCAACAAGAAGAGGCCCATTGAAAACCCTCTTCTCTCCTACTTATATTCATCTCTCAATGCCACATTTTCTGAGATTAACAGAACATCTGCCACCTAGACAGTCAACCTTAAACGGATGCTCTGGATAACTGGCAATTAACCTTTGCCTACAGTCCACTTGCAGGGCAGCCGATTTGACGTGCTGTATGAAAGTCGTTGCTTTAATAAGCTCATTTCATTATGCTGTCAAATGGAAAAATTTACCCCCTTCCCCAAGCCCAATGTGTCTTGTTGCTAGGTGGAAACGAGGACCAGAGGACTTGCTTGTGGAGTTGAGTGGGTGTTTTTAAAATCTGATAATTGGGTGAACTCACCAGTCCAAGTCTAAACATTTCCAGCATACCAAATAGGAGAACCGTTGTTATGTCCATGTGGTAATGCAGAGATTTACTTCTTCTTTTTTTTCTTTCTTTTTCTCTTACTACAGTTTATGGTTCCTGTTTTTGCAGTTTAATGAAGGAAAATAATATCATTCAGTGTATCTCCTCCCTGACCCCGTGGGTCACTGGCTGCTCAGCAGAAGCCTGAACCCATTTGCTCTCTCTGACTGTGGCTCCTCTGGCCTTCTGTAATTTGTCGGCTATTGCCCAAGGACTGATGTTCCGGTGAAGCGTGACCTCAGAGACCCGATTACAGAGGTTTTGTTGGCTTTTCTTTTTTTCTAAGTCAGCGAGACAAGAAGGGATTCTCTCTGTCAGTGCAGTTACATCATCCTCTTGAAACAGAGAGGAAAGGAATACACACTGTTAAATTGGCCAAACCATCAACTTGGCTAGTATTGTGGTTCAAGACTCATGGTGTGAGTTGATGCTTCACTGGCTTCCCCAGATTTTCATATTTAAAAAAAATAAATAAATAAAATTCAGGGCTAATTTCTCCTCACAGTAAATCTATAAGGTGAATAACATAGACCAAATGGAGGTCAAAGTTCACATCTCAAAAAATACATTTTCTATTCCACCACCTAGTGTCAGGGTTGTGTAATATTACATAGTTGTTACTTTGGGATATGTCAGAAATATGTTTATATAACAGTAACCTATGCCAAAAAAATGATTCTCATGTTTAAAAATTGCATATTTGTTTTAAATACTAATGAAAGACTAATTGTACAGTATCAGTGTTTACTGCCTTGCAGATTTTGCTGTTTTGGTCACATTTAAATGTGTCAGATCATCAAGCAAATGCTAATATTGTACCAAAAAAAGTTATACTTGTGCCCCAATGTGAAAATAGAGCTATCACCCTTAATTATGTATGAACTATAATTGACCACATTCATCGTTTTTCTTTAATTTCACTATCCACACCCAGCCTTGGTTACTACGTCACCTGAGAACCTCTCTGACAGCATGAAGTAGGCTCGGAAAGCAACACACTGTACTTCAGCCTGTCACAGACGTTTATCAGTCTGGAAATGTTTCACAAAGTTTTTTTCTAAGGTTTTGAGACTCCAATAAACAAATGAGGGGTGGGGGGTGGGGAAGGAATATGTATATAATGGAAGAGTGGGAAACTTCTCCACGAATGGTCAGCCTACCAAAATTATCTTGAGAGCACATTCCCGGCACATCCAGGAGGTCACAGGTCACAAAAAGACCCTAAAGCAACGTCTAAAGAACTGATGACCTCAATCTTCTCTGTTAGTTGGTGCTGATTTTATTAAGAAAGAGAAACTGGGCAAAATTGTAAACATGTGAGAGATTGATGGTAAAAACCAGTTCTGATCAAAAAAGTAAATAACACAAAGGCCTACCTCACATTTGTAAGCAAACATTCTAAAGATCTCTTAGACTTTTGACGGGGGGAAACTACAAAACTAACAGTGCTTCAGGTAAGACCATCACGCTGACCTTAACATGGTGGTGTTGGGTGGATGCATCCCCCTTAAACCTAAAAGCTAAGGGGATAAGGGACTGTCTGTGGCTCTAGAGCTGTGTAACTTCATGTTGTTGATTCCAGACATTAACAACACACTGGACAGTGCATTTTTGCTTTACTGTAACAAAGAGACAATTTGTGCTACCTGAAAACATGAGCAAAAATAAATGCAATCTTTTGGGAATTTTGACTCTTTTCCACTTATATAAACAAGCATTCACTCTACCGTCTTAAAAGCTGTGCTTGTAAGTAATGGAGGTTCATCCAAATACCTTAACAGAATATTCATTTTTGTTTTCAGTTTCACAAAACTGAAAAGAAAACTAAGAAAATGTGAAATCACATTTTCTCAGTTTTCGCTATACAGAGATCTTGACTTTAGGGAGATATGTTAAAAATGTCAAATTTACATCCAGCGAGAGAATTTCAGCCTGAAAGCAAACCAGCCGATCCAGGAAATACAGAAAAACATAATACTAGCTTCAGTATATAAGCATATGCCGGGAACAGGAACTGATGGTGCAGATGTGACCTTCATTAGAGCAAAACTGAAGTTTGCCAGAAGACAAACGCCCTAGTTGTTGCTGTAAACAAGTGCGGTCCAGAACTGAAGACATATTTTCAGCAGAAGATTGTTGTACCAGCTGGGGTTGTTTTCTGCCTCGGAGACCTGGCGGCTTACCGTCTCCGATTTCAGCTGTGAATTTTGCATCATTGCAGCGATTTCTTTTACAAAATGAGAAGCCATCTGTCTGAAAAACTGAGCTAAACTTGATC